CCCCATGATTTCGTTGAATTTCACTTGGTCTGTAGGCTCGGCGAGGCATGGGCGAATCGAAGTCAGGTCCTTTGCGTGAATTGATGGAATAATATCATTACGTGATACAGCCACGAGTATCGCTGGGTCTACACGGCAAATGCGACATGTAAGGCAAGCCAGGCCCTCTTCGATTCAAATTTATTTTGAGAATTTCAGTGAGGCCAACTTGTATTTTCCAACAAACGCGACGATCCTACTTATTTTTTAATTAATCACCCCATTTGTAACGTAGCTTTGGGAGCCGATTCGGCAAAGTCCCGCTCAAGCTTGCGGCCACAAAATCCTACCAGCCGCCCCAGAAGCCCTACCGACTCGTTCGTCTCGACCCATCATTTCCCCCGACGGGACGGTGGAGGCCCTCAGAAACAGTCTCCATGTCACTTTAGATGCGGTCATGTTGGTGAGAATGCTCGTTGTCACTCGAGCCTGGGGGTTCGAATCACGGGCCTTCACAAGCCGTCCAACTTTTCTGTGGTTCAGTCGCCTGCAGACTCCAACTGTCGCCATGACGACAGCCAAATTTACGGTTTGAGTGTAGACAGCGAAGGCAATGAGGCCCAAAGGCACACTCGAGACTGCGACATTTGCAACCATGCATGCATGAGGCCAGAAGGCTCTCTGGAATATGAGACTCGATTTGGACATACCAAACTGGGGACCAATGGCTCCGGTGGCTTCACGAGCATCTCACTCGATCTGCCCTCACAAGTTTGCAGTCTGCCGGTGGGCAGTGATGACGAGACGACGTCAGCTCTTCTGCCGGGATTCAGGGCTTCCGACAAGGGCAAGCCGAGTGACTTTATCACGGATTGGACGATGGGAAGCCGGGAGAACACTCGATCACCCGGAGCAACGGGCGGCCTTTCGGCCTCTCTGTCCACGTACTGGTCAAGCCGACTCAATTGCTCTCCCTCGAAAGTGACCAAGTCCACCTTGCCGGGTCGGCTGAGTCCGATACCCCGAGATCGAGCCAGATTTCAGGTAACTCGTAGCCTGTATCTTTCTTCCCTTTCCACTAGATATGAATAGAATATTCACAACTGCCCTCTTGAAGGCATCAGCTATTCGCGACATTTTATGCAAACTTCTTGTCCATGTTCCAACACTTAAATAGGCCGTCTTTACTCTTTCTAAAAGTCACAAGAATATGTTCACCATTTTTCATGCCCCTTGAAATCAACTGATGAAGAATTAGTAGACTCTTCAGTTAGAATTTCCATCATAAAAGCTTTGGTATCTATCCATCGTAAAGCGTCACCCACAACAGCATCCCTGTTCTACCTTTCGTCAAATCCTCAGTCAGAAGATATTTTCAAGGATATGCAGAGACACATACCAATTCGTATGGAATAGACTCTCGAAACTACCAGGAGATCTTGAATAGGAGCTGTATGCATCATGGGTCGTAAAAGATGAAGAGCTGATAACTACATTTTTTCTACAATCATATGCGACCAAGGGTCAATGCAACTCTTACATAAACCAATTGTCTGAGTTGAATATGGCTGGTAATAAGGTCGGTGTAAACGCATCTCTTGAGGCATGGGGCAAACGAGATTTACTAAAGGTATACCGACATTACCATCACGTCGTAGCTAAATTGTGAAATCCAAACGGATAGTTGTGCATTTACTTGTGGCGCAGTGAACGGCAATGTGTGAAAAATAGTTTTCTATGAATTTCCTGAAATAATATTGTCATGATGATTTTCATCTTGTATATGTATGTACATGATGCAGACAGTTGTAGGTAAAACTCACCAGAAAAGGATAACTGGTTGTTCTTCAGTCGTTTGATGACGCTGTCTTGGGGTCATCCTCCAGCTGTGATATGAAATTTTCCTGAAAAGATTATTTGGCTTGTTAGCTCGACTTCTCTGGTTGCAGCATTAGTTGGGAAAAAAAGCAACTATAATTCTGGAAGTAGTGTTGAATGTATGCTTACTTCTGTCCAGTTGGCCAGTCCCTCTTGAATGATTGATGCACTAAATAAAATAAATGCCATTCGCAAATGTTTTAGTTTAAAATCCATTGACCTCCAACATATTCAACCATTTATTCGTATTACTTTTAGTTTTGTTCATCTATCAATCCATCCCTCCATCTTTGTTCATACTTATTTGACTCCCATCCATCGACTTGTCTATCATTTTATCTTTTCTTGAGACAATCTATCTAGTAGACCAATCTTCTATCCACTCGTCGGTCTATACATTTGTCTGACCAGAAATCTATATATATCATGCATTTATCCCCTCTTGCTGCACCTATCTATCTATTCATCTCTCTCAATGCAGCTGGAGCTGATTTTAGATATACTTTTTGGGCATATGTAGGTGCATCTATACGTCTATATACCTCTCCTCATGTTTCACCTCAATTAACCTTTTTTTAAATAGATCTCAGTATGCCTATTTTTCTATTCTTGGATATGAAGAGAGTTCTTATTGCTGAACCTTTCCTCCCGATTGAAGGTGCGAATGGCAGGTACTCATAAATTGCCCTCACAGGGAACCGAAAGAGAGTCATTTTGCAGATGACTGTAGCTTTGTGCGCATCGGCCCGAAATCGCGACGGTGGGCCGATGAATAAATCGCAAAAATCTATCCTCACAACTACATTATCAGCCTCCTTCGGCTTCTGGTGAGGCCAATTGACGACCCTTTTTCATATGCCCTTTAAAAACAAATAAAAGTTACAATTGCATTTGTCCATTCGTCTGTGCCTCAGTTCATTATTCGGTTCGGCCCAATTCTATCCAAAATTTTTACCTCGAATTCAGCCTCAAAGTTATCTTTTGCTGTCATCGTGCTTTACTAGATTTCATTAGTTTCCATTTATTTTTCATTCCTCCTTCCTCTTTATCCCCTTGTGGCAATTATTAATGACTCGACCAGGCTAAGACAAGAGACCTGATCGGGTAACGTTAATGACTGACGATTGAGTTGCAATGCAGGCATTTCCGCTTTGCTCCACTAGTAGCGCACTTTACGCAATCTTCAAAGAATTCATAATACATCACATAATATGAGCCAACTTCATTAGTTCCCTTATTTCTGATCTCTATTTCTCTCTCTCTCTTTCTATTATTCACTTTTGCCTCCGAACTTCACAACACAGATTTGCTTTCTTAATCTTTTGATCAAGATGAGCCTTTACCTATCTTTAGCCTATTTCTGCACAACAACGTAAATGCACACAAAGGCAAACATACGAAGTCGAGCATGTTAAAATACACATTTATTCACACATTAGCACCTATGCAAGTAAGCATGCGTACACACAAGAAAACGCACGCAAGCACCCACCTATGCAAGTGAGCACGGATGTATGCAGTCATGCGAAAGCATCCACACAAGGCACACACACAAACACACACACACACACA